TATATATATATATATATATATATATAAAATAAACAAACTTTGTAATTTTTTTTTTTAAGTAATTGTATTGTAGATAAATTGTAAATGGCTAATCGAATAATATAATACAACAGTTAAAGTATGTAATGTTTAGAGTAAACTATACATTGAATATACAGTAGATTAAATGAGCTGTATTAACTGCACAAACCCTGTTATATAAAGCCTAAACCCAAAATGTTGATGTCCAGCTTTACATACTCATGTCTATGTATCACTCTGTCTCTACTCTATAGCTAGTGATCGTATGCAAGAATATGTGTATATGTGATGTAATTGATATAATCTGTCTCTGTGTGCAGCACATGTGTGAACGGCGCTGTGGTCTCGTCTCCCGTCCAGCTGCATCATGGGGATCGGATCCTCTGGGGAAACAACCACTTCTTCAGGTCAGGGAGACACATTTACACTTGGAGGCTGAGTTTAATTGTGTGTCTACTCAGACCATCACAAGCATTGATTTGTCGTCCGTTAAAATGGATTTGTTTAGTGAAAACTGTGGTTGAATAAAATGTCAAAACGATGTCAAATTGACCCAAAGCCGTATGTGTGTGCGGTGAGTACGTACTGACTTTAGTGCTCTCTTTGTCTCAGGATCAGCGTGTCGAACGTGTATCGTGTTGGTGTGGAGGATGAGGAGGGCAGTGTGACGAAGGCTGGTCTTCACGCCGAGCATCTGGATGTGGATCGTCTCAGTCACGACTCCAGTGACAACAGCTTCAGTTTTGAGTCGGCACAGACTGAAGTCATGATGAAAGCGCTGGGAAACAACGGTGAGAGACAGACAACCTCTTACAGTCAATATAACCTGGAGTAAAGGTGGAATGTTACAAACTAATAAAAACCCGTTTGAGATCCAAATGAAATTGAATAAAACTACATTTAAAGTTAATGGCAGCACTGCACCAGTATTCTTCCACGAATTTTATAGTTGATTAATTAATTATTACAGTTTTAATTACCATGCCGATTTAGAGAGCATATGTAAACAAAACAAAACTAGCCACTAATAGTTCTCATATATCATGAAAAATGTATTCTTTTGTTCTCGTTAAAATTAATAACATCACATATAGTTTGACAGGCAAATGAGACTAAACTTTTAGTCTGGAATTTTTTTTTATTGAATCTAGAAAGATTTTTAGAGAGCATGTGTAAACAAAAATATCCACTAATATTTTTCATATCATTCATTTTTTTTTCTTTTGAATAGAATCACATATACCTTAAAATGTGTATCGAAGATTTTAGGCTTTTTTTTTTTTTTAAACCGTTTTAAAAAGTTTACGATTTTTATTCTATATTTTTTTTTTTGTATTTAATCCAAGACTTTTTAGAGAGCATATGTAAACAAAATATCCACTAATATTTGTTATATATAATGAATTTTTTTTCAGGCATTTAACCATTTAACACTCAACAATTTCATATATATAAATATATGTTTGTGAGTGTTGTGTAATTTGTATTAATTTCTAACATAAAAGTAATCAAATTATATTTACAAAATAATATTTTTCATCTTATTATATGGACAGTTTTTCCATGACATGTTGACACTAAAAGCTTTATTATATATTAGTAGATATTTTTAATTAAATGCGTGTGCATTTTGACCATTTTTCCTCAACTTATTTTTTATTATCCAACTCTTTCTTACAAAGCATGTACTTGGTTTAGGGAGTGTTATGTTACTGCACAAGAAGAGGAAAAAAAAAAAAAAAATAGATGAATAAAAGTAAAAACCAGAACAACAAAGGCAATATATGACCCTGGAGCACAAAACCAGTCTTTTTTGTTGTTTATCAGTGAAATATGTGTCTCAGAGCCGCTGCAGTCGGTGCTTCACTCTCTGGAGCGCAGGCATGAGGAGGAGAAGCGCTCGGCTCTGGAGCGACAGCGGCTGATGTACGAGCAGGAGCTGCAGCAGCTGCGCAGACGCCTGTCGACAGAGCACCAGCGCAGCAGCGAGCAGCTCAACGCCAGCCTGGGCTCCTCTCAGAGCGCACTGCGCCAGTGGAGTGACGGGAGGTGCATGCTGAGTTATATTACACACCACAGGAGGTATTTAGTGTGTGTGTTTGTGTGCTAAATATCATGCTTATGTGCTTTCAGAGAGGTTTTGATGAATCGAAGTCTGCGTAAGCTCAAAGAGCAGATCGTGAAGGCCAATCTGCTGGTTCAGGAGGCTGGATTCATCTCTGAAGAGCTCAACAAGAAAACCGAATATAAAGTCACACTGCAGATACCGGCTGCAAACCTCAACGCCAACCGCAAGGTCAGGAGAGACGCTATGTGTGTGCGTGTGATTGACTGTTGAAGGATTTATCCGCGTATATTTTTAACATTAATGTTGTAGGTTTATGGTGTCATCCAAAAAGACTCATGGCTGTATTAGATCAAATGGGTGCTTCTACTAAATACTGAGCATTTTTCAGTTTTTCTTTTTTAATAAATCTGCAAAGATGTCAACAATTCTGTGTTTTTCTGTCAATATGGGGTGTTGTGTGTACATTAATGAGGAAAAAAAATTAACTTAAATGATTTTAGCAAATGGCTGCAATATAACAAAGAGTGAAAAATTTAAGGGGGTCTGAATACTTTCCGTACCCACTGTATATATATTTATTTATAATATTTATTTATAATATTTTAATACATATACACTACTCTTCAAAAATCAAAAAACATTTTTTGGAGAGAGATTCATGTTTTTATTTAGCAAGGATGCATTAAATTGATCAAAAGTGTCAGAAAAGACTTTTATAATGTTACAAAAGATTCTATTATGTGCTTTCAGAGAGGTTTTGATGAATCGAAGTCTGCGTAAGCTCAAAGAGCAGATCGTGAAGGCCAATCGGCTGGTTCAGGAGGCTGGATTCATCTCTGAAGAGCTCAACAAGAAAACCGAATATAAAGTCACACTGCAGATACCGGCTGCAAACCTCAACGCCAACCGCAAGGTCAGGAGAGACGCTATGTGTGTGCGTGTGATTGACTGTTGAAGGATTTATCCGCGTATATTTTTAACATTAATGTTGTAGGTTTATGGTGTCATATTTGTGAATCGTTCAAAATGAATGGTTAATTTAAATGATTCAGTCAGCAAACAAGGATTCGTAAATCATTCTTTGGAAACTGGACTGGATGACGTGTTTGTCACGGTCTGTGTAACTTACTCGAAAACATACAGATAAGAAGCAATATTTGAATATACGTTTAATTAAATATTCATTCAGTTGTCACACTATTTGGCATGTGAATCAGTGAATCAGTTTTTGTAATTCATCAGGGTTCAGACACAGTCATGTATATATATATACAGTATACAGTGGGTACGGAAAGTATTCAGACCCCCTTAAATTTTTCACTCTTTGTTATATTGCAGCCATTTGCTAAAATCATTTAAGTTAATTTTTTTTCCTCATTAATGTACACACAGCACTTTATTTATAATATTTTAATACATATACACTACTCTTCAAAAATCAAAAAACATTTTTTGGAGAGAGATTCATGTTTTTATTTAGCAAGGATGCATTAAATTGATCAAAAGTGTCAGAAAAGACTTTTATAATGTTACAAAAGATTCTATTCTGTTCTTTTGAACTTTCTATTCATCAAAGATTCCTGAAAAAAATGTATCAGTTTCCACAAAAATATGAATCAGCACAACTGTTTTCAACATCGATAATATTAAGAAATAAAAAATAATGCTAATAATAAAAATTTGAAATGTTTCTTGAGCAGCAAATCAGCATATCAGAATGATTTCTGAAGATCATGTGACACCGAAGACTGGAGTAATGATGCTGAAAATTCAGCT